AGGGTCCTAATTTTGGGGGTTACCAACACCACCTTTTTACGACCACAAATAAAACATGTTGAGAGTATCCCTTTCATATTGTAAGCTTTTGGTATTTGTGCATGCGGTCCTCCGGTTCGCCGTCTTCGTCCTGGCTACAGGCTTGAGTTTGCAAAAGTCACAGTCACTCTAGGGTTTATGGTTTAGGGGTTAGGGGACTTCGCTCGTTGGGCAGTACCCGTTGGAAGGTCACCTTTTCTGCAGCTTCTGGGCCATGACTTTTTGAAAGCTAACAGTTGGGGTACTAGGGCCTGGGATTTGTGTGTCACTTCGCGACTGGGGCCTTTTAGGTTGTTCAGGGCTTATGTAATCTGGTAAGGAGGGCTTTCGAGCCTTTGATGATTTGGGAGCTTTTGGCTGGCATTCTTCGCAGTACTCTGCCCAAAGCAACTGAAGCCACAACCAGGAAGTACATAGGTCACAGCATGCTTCCGAATGGAACCAAGTCGAAGCAAGCGAGACATGTGCAACAAGTCCTTCTAGTCGCAGACTTGGAAGGCTCTGCGGTAAGATCCGCCCATACAGCGGGAGTCCCCAATGAGCCCTGCATTGTGCGTTAATATACACCGAAAATGCCTCTAGGTGCTGGCTAGCCGAACGTGAACCGGAACTCTATGTAATGCCCCTCCCCCTGAAATCAAAACCTCCCGCTCCCCTAATGCCAAATATCCCATCATGATATACCATAATGACTGGGAATATCTAGTACATACTAAGGGGAGGGATTCTGTGCCTCGTCTTTGAAAATCTTACCAAGCACTGTATCCCATGACTTTCAGATTGAATAACACCCAAGCCTTAAACCGTTGCACCCTAAACTTACTTGTTGTTAGTAGCCCAATTTACCTGCCCGCAATGAAGCGGGTTCCATCTCTCTTCCATTCCTTCATTCCATAACCACCATCAAGTAAAGCCTAAACCCTACATATCCTTATGCACCCTTTCCACTTCATGTTCCGTCTGTTCCGCACTTGATTTTCAACTACAAAATACATCCCACAGAACCAACGTCCATTCTGTGTTGCATGTTCTCTTCCAATTCATTTCCCAGTACAACCTTATATGAGCTAGTCTAGACTGCTTAAATGGGGGCTTATATAAGGGATTATATAGGGGTCTAATATGGCGGATATTAAGGGGGATACTCGAAATTTAGACTATGGCTCAC